CCCCAAAACCCCAAAACCCCTCTTGATATTTTTCATTAATTGTGAAATTTGTAAAATATTGATAATTAAAATATAAACAAATTCCCTTGATCAGTGATTGATATTTAATGAATTTTCTAAAGATTTTCATTTTTATATTCCTTCGAAATACTCTATAGCCATTTCTAATACTGAAGATATGCTCTCAGAAAGGGGTTCATTTTTAAATGCTTTTGAGGCAATAATTTCAATTGAATCTAAGAATATGTAGAAATCCATTTGATTTGTTTCAGACTTACGAATAACATTCTTGTAAACAATATCAAAATCTGCTTTCATTATTGTTTGATTCTTATATAAACCTTGAACTTTATGCAGCTTTTAAAACTAGGAAAGAGTTAGAAACTCAATGTTTCTAGAGCCTGTCATAAACTCAAACAGAGTTTAAGCTTTATTCCAGACATAGAAATCATTCATAGACTAGTCTGGAAGAATTTACTTGAAAAGTCCCTGATACTCAGTGGTTCCTTATCCCTAAACATCAATAAGTTATGACATTAATCTTACAGTGACTATTCTGATAGCTTCTGTTACTACTTGTCCCTTGACGTATTTATCCAACTCTGAAACAGTCTTCTCCACTTCACCATTTGGTAGATCTCTTTCCAAAAACATGTTGAAACTTGGATTAGCATTGATCTCCATTAGCCAAGCGTTTAGCTTGGAATCTAGTAAAATGTCAAATCCAACTAGATGAAAGCATTTTGAGTCAGAATGATCAAATGATATCTGGGTATGATAGAAATGCAACAGATAAGGCTCAAGAGTAATTACTGCTTTTTTAATAGTATCCTTGATCTTATTATTTATCATATCGATATCATGTCCCTCAGCCGCCAGTTATTTCCATAAAGTACTTATGAGTCTCTTGGAACCAGTATCATCTTCAAGGAAATCAGCATCTGGGGCCTTGTAATTTTCAGAGTTTTTATTTAGGGAATAGTTAGTCAAGTGCATATATAAATTCTTCATATTTTCTCTCGTAGGTGTTTTGTAGTCCTAGGTACAAAATCTTGCTAATCCTTCGTCACAGACATAGGCTTCAACTGGATCAAAAGATTTTATAAGCACATAAATTCTCAAATCAAATTTCTTACTATATATGTTTTAACAAGTCTTAATGTTACTTTTCAAGGAGTAAAGGCTTTTTAATGTATCTCTGAACTAGTAGATCATTCTGCTTGAAATTCCAACTTTAAGAAGGTACTTCGCTAAATTTAGAAATCAGTACTATTCCTTCACCACCTTTTCCCTTTGAGGGCTTAGCAATAAATGTGAATGATGGATGCTTCTTCATATATGCTTCAAGAGCATCTGTTTCCTCTGGTAGTTAGAAACTAATTGGGCAGAATTTAAATTCATTAGAAAATGTTCGACGCATTCTATTTGTAATTAAGCAAAATAACTTTTTTCTGGCTAAGATATCGACTCCTGGATATCTGTTGTAAAAAAACTGCTTATTTTATATCATTTATTAATCCTTGGGTAAAAGAGCAAGCCCAAACCATACTAAATTACTCTAACTCATCAAACTTGTTTCCTATACAATGAATGAATGCATAGTAATGATTACCATGAAGCCATTGATATTAACAACATGCTGAATAAGTTCTAGTTCTGATCTGCAATAAGATGTATTAATCCCAAACACATTTTTGGAATACTTCTTTTTTAAAATTCTATGAGTTGATTTCTCCTCTTCAAATTCCTTATCCTCTTCTTATATTGCCACTATCTTATTCATTTATTTCTAGTCATTTTCCTTATCAATTATGTCAAATGAGTCCAGATTTATAGTGCCGCTGCCATCCTTACACGGAGTAGAAGTGTCATCATATGTGAGAAGTGTTTCAAAATTTCTATCCTATATCAATTCAAATGTATCATTTGGCTTTCCTAGTACCAAATTACTCTAAAATATATATTAGTAAATTTATTTTATTACAGGACTCTTATCACTACTTGGACCATTATCCCAAGGTGAAAATGGCTCGAAGTCTCTATTTTCTAGATTAACATTGTTGCTAGTAGCCATTGAATCCTATTTTTGCTATTATATTTATGGTGTTTGTTGCTATTGCTACAATACTGGCTGAATTATCTACTAAGGTCTTGGAATATCCTTAGGCCTTGAAAGTGGGATAGATTGGATCTTTACTACACCAGAAGGTCTAAAATTTTGGGAAGATTATCTAGCTTAAGAGCCGGATCTCTGCTGCTATAATCTGCTATTTTGAGAGTTTTCTCTTCTTCTATCTGTCTTTTGCATTTAAGTCGATTTTATTAATTCCTTAAATTTTAATTAAATAAATATTACAATAAGAATTTCATAATTAAACATTAAGCATTAGTCATATCAAACTGTACATAAAAATCACTTAATTCTGATAAAAATGAACACGACTTTATCTTAAATCATTAATTCAAATATATTGCTCTTGAATGTGTCACTTTGAAGGCTTGTAAACTACTTAATATTTATAGTGCCTCTAGCATTTCATTTTGATTTTGATCTATGTTCGTAATGTTGAATTCCACAAATAAAACTGGCTTTAGTTTTATTATGTCTCCGAAAATTTCACCTTCATCTAAGGTCACTGCTTGATTTTTTAAAAGGGTAAGACTTAACGCTTAGCTTAGACTTTGAAGGTAACAAATTATATCATTATATTCTCCGATTGTATTAAGCAGTATTATTTGCTAAGTACTATTAGAAAATACATATTTGCCTGTTTAACATCCCTTCTAATCGAAATAAACTTACGATTTAATATTTAGTCCTAATTCTTTCATGTAATTTTCGATTTCAGTAGTATTATACTATATTTAACTATTAGAGTTTCTAGAGCTTTCAAAAATCGAAATAACATACAATGTTCTTGTTTGTACATTGCTAAGGGATTGCTTTTATTTCCCTCTTTGTTGGTATTAGGATTTGAAAAGAGTTTATTGCTATTATAGAAAGTATTATTGATAAAGAGAAATCCTACTCATTAGCAGCTGCTATTAATCATCATGTAGATAAGGCTGGGCAGCAAGTTTTTGAAACTTAATCCCTTTAAATAATTTTTAGTTCCCTAAGATCTATTCTTTATTAATATATTACATACTTTATCTGTTTAATTATAGGTAACCCGCTTCAAACTTTAATTAATTATCGTGCAATACCACTTAAACTTAAGGCCTATCACTTAAAATATGTGAAATGACTTCCATATTTAGAACATTCCTCTCAAATTTATCTAATAATCCCATTTCTTCATCTATTTCTTTCTATATATAAGCCATTTCAAGATCCAACTATTCACATTCAGTTTTGATGGAATCTGCTTCACATTCAATTCTATTTAGCTAAGATACTTAGCATTAATAATCTTATTGGTATTCTTGAAGATCAATAGATCTTTGATCTTTGAGCAATTCATTTAGATCAATCTTATAGTTTAATTTTTTCTTAGCTTTTTCTTGCTGCTACCTATCCTCATTAATCATCATTAAATCTTCTTGCCTTATTTTCAGAATGCTAACTTCCGCTTCTCTAATTTGAGCTTAATAGTATCTTATATTCTTGATATTTTCAACATAGTTTTATTTGATTTTCATGTGTAATTACCTTTCTCTGTCAATTGTGTCGAACAATTCTATTAGCATTTTTTTGCATTTGTCATAAGAGTTTTGCTAGATCAATGGCTTTGTGCTGGTGCCAAGACTTTAGCCTCTGCCTAAATTTGCCTTTACATTTCTCGCAAACTAGTTGCTTAAAGAAGTATTGTTTTAACTTCTTTGCTCTTATAATTTGTCAATGTTTGCCTTTGTCAATGGATTATTAATTACTGGTCTTTGCTATGATCTACTTTTCCTCGCATCCATATTAAATGTCTTAGCTGCAATTAAGGGGAGCTCTGATCCACTTTTAGGCTTGTCATAACTGAATTAGATAGCGACTTTATTTTTGGTTGGCTCATTCGAGTTAAATCACTTGATATTCTTTTGCCCTACTACTTTATTGTTATTTTAAGTTTCTTTATTATCATCTGTAAATTAATTATATGTCCTCTTTTTACTGATATTTCGATTACTAGCGATTTGATTATTAATGTAATTATTGACTTATTAGAGATTGACTCCTTTGTAATCTTTGCCATCCTCAGTCCTAATCTGCATTCGCATGATGTTTGATTAATTGAAGAATTTGTTTATTTTTAAATTCATATTAGATTGATAATTTAAGTAGTTAAAGATAGAGATATAATTATAATTAATAATTAAGATCATTCCTTAATCTAAATGAGTAATTCTATATTCAAGAATACACAAAACCCCTTGAATTCATTTATACCAATTCCCGATTCTTCATCTAATCCACCTAATGATCAATCGAAAGAACAGTCTATTTAGAATGAAGAATCAAAGTAGGCATCAATAGAGCTTCAACTGTCAAGTAAATAGAAGAACGAAGCAGATGAGGCGCCACATAAAGCGGATTCTGCCTAAAAAGAGCGCCAAGATCATCAGTTTTAAGCTCATGATCAAGATGAAAAAGACGATAGCTGCAAGCTTGAAGAGCAGATCGACAGAGGAGATTTCCTAAGCAACCAGAAGTAATAAGACTTTATTAATGATGGAAGCGCCAACCACTTAGAAGTGAATCAGTTCGAGTTATAACAACAAAAATAGGAAGTTAAAGAAGTAGTAGCTCCAGTTAAAGAAGATATTTCACCAAATGAACAACACGAATCAAATAATCTTTTATCAGTCCATAATGCCATTAATGAGCACCAAGTTGGCAATGGCAAAAAAAGCGCGCGCAAAACACCATCTAGAGCAGCAAACAAAATTGCTGGCATCAGTGAGAAGAAGCATTAATCAGAGCAACAAAATCACAAGAATTAACCTGAGCCTGTTTAGCAAATCCAATAAGAAGAGTAGTAATAGCCACAAGTCTAATAAGATCCGAATAGTCAGGTACTCATATCCACATATTCTAATTTCCTATTTAATATAGAGTCCGGCCTAGGATTTGGCAGATCAGTTTGAAATAATATCCAAAGGAGAATTAGAAGGAGCAGAGGAATTCAAGCAATAATATGAATAGTAAGAGAAGGAGGCAGTAGCAAAGCTTGATTAGGATTAGCCAATGAAGGATGAGAGCGAATAGGAGTAGCAATAGTAAGAGCAGCAAGTTGACATTTAGATTCAATAGCTAGAGGAGAAAGAAGAACCAGTTGAAGAGCCTAAGTCTGTTAAGAAATAAGTAAAGTCAAGAACATAAACTCCAGCAAAAGGTAAATCTGCTGTAAAGAAAACCGAATCACCAAAGGCATCACCTCAAAGGTAGAATGCCTTATCCCCTGCTAGAATTCAAGCCTCAGTTAGTAAGCAAACCCCCAAGCCTACTACTGCTAAAAAATCAGCAGTAAAGAAGGAATTAGTGAGATAATTGAGTGATGACGAAGGACATGAATCTCATGTTGAAATTGTTGTTCAATAATAGTTATAGTAAAAAGAAGAAGAAAAGAAGGAAATAGAAATAGAAGTCCCTTAGCAATAGCATTAAGACATTAAAGTTGACCATCTTGATTAGCAAGATATATAATAGAAGCAAGTATAAGAAGAACATGAACAAGAGGAGAAGTAGGCAGAATAAGCATCTAAAAAGACGCCAAAAGCAACACCAAAGCCATCTTCATAAAAAAGATAAGTAACTGAATAAAAATAAGGAAAAGCATCAGTTGCTGACAAGAAATCAACAACTAAATAATCAGTATCAAAGCAGTAAGTTACAAAGCTAAAAGAGCCTGAATAGATCAAAGAGCAGCCAAAGCCTAAATAGGAGGAAGTTGTGATGAAAGACGAGTCTCATCATGAAGAGGAAAAACCAAAGCCAAAATCAGCTATTAAGCATAAAGCAGCTGTAGTAGAGGACAAACCAAAATAATAGTAAAAGCATTAAGAAAGATCAAAGACTCCTAAGTAGAATGAGACTCCAAGATAAACTCAAACTCCCAAGAGAACTGAGACACCAAAGAGGTAGTAGACACCTAAGAAACAATAGACTCCTAAGAAATAGCAAACCCCAAAGAAGGAATAATCTCCTCAAAGAAGTTAAACACCAAAGAAAGAAGCTATATAAACTCCAAGAAAATCTACCACAACCAAGAAGGTTGATGCAAAAGCAAAGCTACATTAATAAGAGGAGAAGAAGCAACTGACTCCAATCAAAGAAGAGTCTAAGTAAGAGGAACCAAGGGGAAGATCCCCTCCTGCTAAGAGAGAGGAAAAGAAGTCAGTCAAGAAAATTGAGCACAAACCTCAGGAAGCTAAATCTATACCAAAGGAAAAATAATAAAGATCAATTACCCCTGCAAAATCATAAGAAAAGAAATCTGTTAAAAAATCAGTAGAAACTAAGAAGACTCCAGCAAAAGAATCAGTTTAGCAACAGATTCCAGTTGTAGTCTAACAATAAGCTTAATAAGAGCAGTAGGAATAAATTTAATTGCAAAAGTAAAGAAGTAAAACACCTAAAAGAACTGAATAAGTATTATCAGCAAAGCCCTCTGTTAAGAAGCAAGAGACTTAAAAACCTGAAGAGAAGAAAGCACATAAAAAATCTGAGGAGAAATCTCCAGCTAAAGCTTAAGTACATGAAAAGAAAATTGAGCAAAAGCCAGAGTAGCAAAAGCATGTTGCACCCTTGAAATCTAAGACACCTGCCAAGGATGAAAAGAAAACTAAGACCCCAGCTAAAGAAGAAATTTAAAAGTCAAAGACTCCAGTAAGAGATGAGAAGAAGGGAAAAACCCCAGTTAAGCAAGAATAGAAGAGTAAATCGCCAGTGAAGGAGCAGCAACTTAAGAGGTCTAAGACACCAATCAAAAGTGAGCAAAAAGCCAAGAGTCCCGTTAAACACCAGTACACAAGAAGCAAAAGTCCTAAAAAAGAATAATAAATTATCAAATAGAAGACACCTGCTAAATAAGATATAGCATAAGCAGTTTAATAAGTATAGAAGCAATAAAGTGCAGCTAAAGTCAAACAAAGTGTTCAGAAACAAATTGAAGAGCCCAAATAATAAATTAAGCAGAAGTCCCCAGTGAAACAATAGGCTAAAGCTTAGGTTAATAAATCTAAGTCAAAAGATAAGAAAAAACCAGTGGTAAAGTCTCAATAAAAGAAGCAAGATGTAGTAGCAGTACCATTTGAAGAGCCATTGAAGAAAAGAGAGATCAAATTAACTTAAAAAGTCCTTGAAAATCAAGAAAAAGAGGCAAAGAGATAACAAGAAGTCCAAGAGAAGAAGTCAGTCTCTCCATAAAAGTAAAAATCACACTCTAGTCCTAAGAAGCAAGAACTGCCTGTAGCCAAGCCAGTAGTGAAAAGGGAATCATCTCAGCAAAAACAAAAGAAGCAATTAGCAACTCCAGCAGTTACTAAAGTTGAAGTTAAATTGGAACCTGCTGAGGAAAAGAGAACTTCAAGATCGTAGTCTAAAAAGCCTGCTAGATCTCCTAGGAAAGAACTGTCAAATCCTCCTCCAGCCAAGAAATAAAAAGTGGCTGTTGAAAAGCCCATAGTAGAAGCTAAGAAATAAGCAGCTCCTCCAAAATCTGTTCAAAAGTAAGCTAAGCCTGAAGTGAAGCAAGTAAAACCAGTTTTGGCAAAGAAGGAGACCAGATAAGAAAAGTCAAAGGAAAAGAAAGCAACAGTAGTAACTCCCAGACAACCATCTAAAAAGCAAGATAAAGCACTAGCATCTATAGTAAAAGTTGAGGCTAAGGAGGAAATCCCAGTTAAAAAGAGAGAAGCCAAAGCAAATGCTAAGGAAACTATTAGGAAGGAGGTGCAATTGAAAAAGCAAGCTGTTCAACCAATTGTAAAATAAAAGACTTCAAAGGCCCCCAAAAGTAGATAGCAATCTTAGCCAAAGCAAGTAGAGAGATCTAAGTCTGCAAAGAAAGAAGTCATTCAATAGAAACCAGAACCTGTATAAAAATAATAAAAGGTTCAAGAGGTGAAGAAGCCAGCAGCAAAGCCAATTGAGATAAAGAGTTAGACTCCAGCTCCATTAGTACAGTAGAAATAAGTTAGTAAAGATAAGGCTCCAAGACCACAGTCTCCAAAAAAGAAAGAAGTGTCTAAGCCAGCAGTTGCTAAGAAATCACCTACTAAATAATAATCAAAAGAGAAAAAGAAGCCTACTGGCAAGGCTTCACCTAAGAAAACTTAGAGTCTGAAGAATGAGGTTAAAGACTAGAAACTAGCAGGAGAGAAGAGGATAAAGAAAGTCGATATCAAACTAGAGGAGAAAGTCAAGGCCAAAGCTCAGCAACAAAAGATCAAACAGCAAATTAAGGCGAAGGCTGCAACCCCTAAGTAGTCAGGTAAATTGAACAAAAAGAAATGATTAGAGACCGCTAGGCAAATCCTTCCTTCTTATATAGAATTTTTTATGTGTTGCTTTATAGTTATTTCAAATTAACACATTACTTAAAAGCAAAATAGAGTTAAATATATCAATCGTAATAATTAGCCCCCCCTTCTTTGATAAATGATATCATAGTATTGGGGTTTTGGGGTTTTGGGGTTTTGGGGTTTTGGGG